TGTCTAATATGGAATAGTTACTAAGAATCAGCATAGCTTAACATTTAACTGTTCAGATGTACTAGCTCCCATTATTATGATAGCAGTGGCATGATTCAAATTACCACAGTAAAACAAACTGGAAACCTGTCCATGCTTCATAAAAATATTTCAAGTACCATCACCTAGTCCTACATTTTGAGATCCTGTTGTTCACTAGAGTTCTCAAGTTAAAGAGCACATTCACCTGCTTATTTCAACCCAGATCTAAATAGCTGCAAAATCAGTCAGAAAGAAGTCTATAGCTATTACACACTATCAATTGCAACAGCTCCTTGCCACAGGAATTGTGGCTAAGATACATGCAGAGCTTCAAGCTATCTTTAATCATAGGGCTGGCTCAGATAAAGTCATCTACAGTTACAGATCCAAACTCTACCTTTAAAAGTCTTTTAAGTTCAGGTCAGCAGCATCCTCAAAGCTTCACTACAAAGTCTGTTATTCCTTCAGTCTTTCAAGCCAGCTGCAGAAGAACTATTCCTATTCTGTTTCACCTGTATTACTATTCCTTGATTAGCAACTTTATCTCTCCTTATGGCTTTGTAATCAAGTTAGTTTATCAGTTTAGATAACACTCATTAAGAATCCTCACATTAACCTACTATAACTGAATTACAAATGGGGTAGGTCCTCAAAACAGCCTACAAAACCTGCATCAAGAACAAAATGCGATCTTCACATCAACTACCCTATTTTATCTCACCAATACTGAAACCAATCAGCATGGGATTCACCTCACTTCCTTTTCAGTTAGCCAATCAAGTTTAAGTCTTGACAATGCCTGCAGTCAATGAGAAAGGGCACATCTGTAGAGGATAGTTTTAACAGAAAATCGCTACCCACACATGCCCAATATTTTTCCATGTTTAGATTTCTGAAGCTACTCAAGGTAAATCCCTTCCTCAAAAGCTAAACAGATGGCATATTCCTTATGCTTTGTTCTACAAACGCTAGATTTTATGGATGCTGTAGGTTCGCTGCAAATTTGGTCTTAGACACAGGGCAGCTAGAAACAAATCTGTTTAAACAAACTTTAGATCATAGGGAGAACTATACATACTAACTCAGCTGTACAAGTGAAAAGCTGCTGTTTAAAACCAAGCGTCATGTTAAATTTGACCTTGTGACACACCATCCTTTCGATTTTAAGAGCTGCCTTTAACATTTGCTACTTCTCCTAGCTGTTCTCTCACACAGTCCAGTACTTGGCTTAGAAATGGGAAGATTTAAATGTGAAGCCGGGGGGAAAAAAAAAAAAAAAAGAAAGGAAACACTGGAAAATGAACTAATGGAGATATACCAAGGAAAAATTCAAGGAGTTGCAGGAAGGAACTCTCAACCAATGGCATATAGCATTAAAGCTCTGTTAACGGGAAGTTAAGAACACAGTAACTGTGGCAACAACCAAAAAGCAGGGATCTTGCAGCTGCTCCTAAACCCAAGTAGCTGCTCTTCCTATGGAACTTACTTGCCTACAAGTGGAGCACTACATATGTATTTCCACAACACGTTCTGCAATTTTGAACTATTATGAACCTCAGTTCAGGCAGTATAAGAAAATCTGCTTTTCTTGCTGCTGGCATGGAAATTTAAGTACTATTCCTATAGCTGTATAGTCTAATAGAAATGTACAGAAAAATCAATTAAAATCAGCCACACTTTTTCTGATCAAGAAATATATGAGTTATTTGAATAATAAAGTAAGTGGAAGAGAGTAACACTAATAAGGGAGGAAAAAAAATTTCCAGAATTTTACAAACAAAAGTGGAAGCTATTAAAATACAACACCAAGTATTTCACAAATTGCCTGAGTTTCTGCAAGTGCAGCACATTCAGGACCAAACAAAAAAAAAAAAAAAAAAGAAAAGAAAAGAAAAAAAAAAAGGCAGTACCATTTAAGGGAAGATGCTTTTGATCACCTGCAGTGCATTATAATTAATGGTAGTAGGAAGCTGATGCTTGATATGAAGCTGTAGAACCATTAACAAAGTAACACAGAGAATGAACAGAACAATGTGTGTACTCTAAGGCTGTCTAAAAATTGCTCAAAGTGAAGAAAAGTATTGAAGTATGAGCAGATACTAAAATGCCGACACTTTTTACAATACCCTTTTTTAAAGTCTTTAATGGGTAAGCACTTGGTTATGAAAATGCTGAACCAAACTTTAGGTTTTGAAGCAGATACAGTATTTCCTCCCCCTAATTTTACACTGAAAATTTTCAGTCTTTACATTTCTCCAATGTAAATCAACGATAAAAGTCTGGAAAACTAGTCCTCTTTCATTCAGTTAGCATAGTGAAAAAACATCTGAAGGGCAAACCAGACAGCTACTCCAATAATAAAACCCATTTTTGTACTCTAGGCACAACAAGCAAGATATTTTTACTTATTTACATAATGTACTCTATCAGTGAAATATATTAAAAAGCACTTTGTGGCATGCTCTACTTTTCACTCAGAACATAACTCTTAGGTTAATTGTTTAGAGATCACTTCCATGGCATTTTTTACAACATTTTGTTAGATGGGTATTTTCTGTTCTTCCTCATTAAATTAGACAATTCCCCCAAGTTAAGAAAGGCTGCTGTTCTGCTGTTATAATAATTATTTGCTATTAAAGCAATTATTTTAATAGCAAAGAAGCAGACACTCAATTTGACGGGCTTTTTTTTTCCATGACACAGAAAAAAAAAAGCCTTGTTCTTCCACCACAAAGCTCGCAAAGGGGAACCAAGGTGGTCATCATACAATGCAACTTTAAGAATTGCTGCAAGGGCTATAAATACACAAGCTTTAATTATATTTGCTTTCCATAGCATTGGGGATGCAGGCACAAACTCCCATTCCCATTCTCTACATTGTGCATGGGAAGTCTAAAAATACATGGCTAATCTGAAACTCTTCAGCAACAAGAAAGGCTAAGATACTATTACACTTTTTAACTTTAGCTTTTAGATATGGGAGAAAAAGAAAAAGAATCGAACAGCTGGGTGGTATATTTAATGATATACATGCGCTTTCATGCTGTTTAAACTGCTGTTTAAAGGAATAGGTTTAAAAGTAAATCTTTGAATTAAAACTGCGTTTTTTTTGCAATTCAGTTGAAGAACAATTTTTATCATCATTCTTTAAAAGGAAAGCCTCATCTCGGTACTAAAATAAGCAGCATATCCGTGAATATTAACAAAAATTCATGACAATCTGTTTATTATAGGAAATGTTCATTATGGAAAAAACCCTATAAAATAAACTATTACTGCAGTCTCATTATAGTTCAGTATTAGTAGTTGTGACTCAAGGAGAACAGCTTAGGTTTTTTGTGTACTTGACTGTATGTGATTTGACCCCAAAATTTGACTGAGGCTTCTTCCATTTGCAGATATAAATTTCACCCATAAGTTATTTTCCGGACCTTATTAAAGAAATTTTGAAGTCAGACATATAGATTTGAGATCACTTCTTTGGTTCTGACAATTTTTTTGAAGTATAAGAGCTGATCAATCTACATATTGATTATTTCTCTTAAAATAGAACTGGACTTGTACTGTTCAAAAATACTTAAGAACAAAGACACTGGGAAACTTTTTTTTTAAATAATTTTAAATAAAAAAACAGATATGAAAACAAGTTCATTACCACAGGGGGAATTTAATGCTTACTGATTGCCTGAGCTATCCTCAAGCAATGCTTCCAAATCCATGTTTGCTCTGCAATCTATGCTTTAACCTAGTGGAACTTCATTGTTCGTCATATTTATCCACACACACACACATATATATATATATATTTAAGCAATTGAAGTGTCTTTAAGATGACAATATTTATATTACATACACAGAGACATCAATTACATATGACAAGGCAGTATCAAGCATTACACTTTTGGGTGTTTGTGACCTATATTATGATGCAGAACAACGATGCATACAATTTAGTTCCTGCCTTATCACCATGAGTGAGTATTTCTAATTAATAGACTCAAAATAGATCCTGTCTGCAAAAGGCCTGAAACACTACCTGCGAATTTGACTCTCGCCGATTAAAATACTAATTATTTTGCCACAACATGGATTTTTAAACACATCGTACTATTGTACTTAATAATGTTACTTTTTAAGATAACTAGAAGGGACAGGGAGAATGAAAGAAAAGCACCCAACTGCAGCATTAAGAGTTGCTGCTGGTCAGTAGACAAACTCGGCTAGTCAGCTCAAATGGACAAGCCTGGACAGTAAAGAATCAGACTCCAGAACTCTCCCCGGATAACGGGAAGGCAAAATGAAGATGGAAGGAGTGAATGCATACAAAGACGCAAAATCTATACTCAGCAGCACTAAGAAAGGAAAATGATACCACAAGAGAGAAACTGAGCAAAAGGTCTTAAAAACCTTTCCAACGAAATGTGCATCAGAAGGATTTTAAAGTTTTACTACTTGGCTTATTCAGGGTGATCATGGTATGTTGGTGATATTTCCAGTATTCTATTGCAATGTCTGTGTTGGCATCACAGATAGTTAATTGAAAATGCAGAGATTAGCCTTAAAGGTCATTATCAATACTATTTTCAGATCAATTTTTGAGGAAACTTGATGGACAGCAAGATCTGTGGATCTCCCCATGTCTCCCCTTTTCACCTCCTTCCTTAAAGGATTACAGGAAACATTTACTGATATTTTGGATAATTTGGCTGAAGCAGTGGTGGATGTGAACAACTGCTGTCCTGGATCACATCACATAGCAGCTCTTCCTGCCTCCCCAATAAAGCTTAGGGCAGAGCAGCAGTCCTGGATTTACTCTCTTCTCATCACAGGAAAAATAAAAATAATTAAAATTAGAATCACAGGATTCTACAGTTCACGATCTTACCTATACAGTTAAGTACTAATATGAATCAATTCTGAAAGTCTCAAAATATATGTAATTCCTAGTTAGTAGTGCTAGATTTTCTTATTTATTTAGGATAGTAACCCCATCACTTGCCCTTTACAGTTTTCTGATTCACAAAATCATATTCCATGAAATCAAACATTTCAGAAACAGATGCTGTACTATAAACTTGTCCCAAGTAGTGTCTGGGTGGTTGCAGGCACCCAGGAGCACCAAGTCATTTGTTTTTACCATCTGTTCTATTTCCCAAAGCAATAACTTGTATCTTTTCTTCTTGATTAGGTAGTCTACTCTAGAGCAAACTCTAAATTTAAAGTGCTTGGATTTTCCCTTAAGTTTTTTAAAAAAAATCTCATTTGAACTCGTACTCTCTTACAGCATATACAGTCATATTTTTAGAAAGCACTTCAGCATTTTTTTTTCTACATCTGCATATCATATCTGAAAGGTAACCCATTCTGACACTTTAGTCAAAACATCTATCCTACTACTTAGTATATTTTACAAGGCAAATATGATTTATCAGAATTAATTCTAAGTGACTTATTTTAGCATGGTTTTAAAAACCCTCTGAAATGAAGCTTCCTTTCTCTCTCCTCTACTTGACCCTCTCACATTTGAACTCTTACTCCTGGATAGTGAAGACACAAATACATAAATTCTCTCTCATTTCTGGTAGTATTTCACAACCCCCTTCCCTCTGCCTCCATTTTGAAATGTAGCATTCTTCCACTCCTCTTCAAGAGCTCTGCTTTTAATTGTACAAAAGTAACCATTCACCCAGTTGACTGAATTCACTGATTTTCAGACAAGTGCATCTGTCAGAGGCATCTTCTTCAAATTATCCTCTCCCCCCTCACCCCATGATTTTCTAATGCAAAACTGAGGGATTTCATCTTCTCCCAAGAATTTAGCAGACCTTCTCCTATAAGTCCTTTGGTTTCTTTAGTTGCAGCCACTCCAGAGAATGACAATGGCTCATTTACAAACATATTCCAGCACGAAATGCAAACAAATTTCTACTGCTCTGCCTTTAAATTAGCACTTGGGGTTCAGAACTGAAGGTGCAATGACTTTTGAGCACTTCATGATACCCCAAGCTGACTACAAGCAATCTCAACGTCTTCCCCACTCAGGACAAACTTATTTTTAGGGGGAGATTAGTTGTGTGGTTTTTTTCCTCCTCCTAAGCACTAGCCTCCCATGCTATTTTCACATTGTGTACCTTTTATCAAGTTTTACCATTCAAGTCTTGAAACACAAATGACAATTTGTTATGGCTCAAACTTTTTTATATGCATTCATCCTTCAGGAGCTTAATTTACATGCATCTGTATTCTTCTAATACTAACAAGATTAGTACCATCCTTTCAGTTTCATTTATCTATTTTCCCATGTAATTCTGCAAGCAGTCATATTTCAGAGTCGAAAAGATAAGAATCAATCAATAAACACAGTGATAGGTATCATCCTTGCTACATTATACAGAGGAAACTAAGGCATTCTGGACATTACAGGTAATACACTCCTTCTGACAGATCCATAGCTAAATATTAAAGTATAAAATGAACAACTTAAAAACGAGTTTTATTTCTCTCTGTTCTGTTCCATAACTGTCATTGATTAATTCAGTAGGCCAACTTCTCCAACAATAAAATGCCCTTTAGAAAAATAACCATTCTGGCAGTTGCACATATAAAAACAAGGCAAGTAACGCTTACCATGATCTGATGCAATCCATAGTACATCAAAATGTCTGCTAAGGTAAAAACGTTTCCTGCAAGGTACACTTTATCTTCAAGGTGCATGTTAAGATCCTAAAAAAGAAAAAGTCATTAAACTGATGTAGTACTGACTTTGTGAAACAATACATTAAGGCAACTGTTAAAAGTAATAAAAACTTTCTTTGCAGACCATGCATATAAAATAAACACCAGCTTTAAATTTATTCCAACTCAGCAAATAAGAAAAACAATAAAATAAGAAAAAAATTCCAAAAAGTGAGTGATAAGAAACTAAAATATCACTATTCTTTCACAGTGAGGATTAGGTAAAATTTAAACGCTGGAGTCTAAAAAAAGGGCTTTACATCTAGACAAATTTTTGTAAATACAGGTGTAATTTTTTTTAAGATGTCTCCAAAGAAATACTTCCTTTCTTTTCTCTACATCTTACCTACTTCTCATGCAATTTATACACCTTTCTGCCCTCTACTTCCCTCTAAAGAAAGAAATGTAACCACAAAGAAAACTGCCTACTTTATGCTGATCCCAGCATAAGCAAGCTTTAGTTTTACGGTATTCTTTTCAGAAATGTACAAAAACAAGTTTCCAAGCTTTTCCTTGGATTTTGAAACTCTCCTTGTTAGTTGTCACTCCTCTTTTTTCCCCTCAGACATCTCCTTAAGCCACCCCTCCCACCTCCAGAAACAGTTAAATGTAACTAACATTTTTAAAAATTTAAATTTTTCAGTTTCAATTACAGCACATTCCATTTTAGACAAGCTTTTATCAAAAATAAACCCCAAACCAAAACCCCACATCGAGGGCAAGGAGAAGGGGGGTAATAATTAGTGAACAATTAAAAAACTATATTTAGCCTTAGGCATGCTGCACTTTTTGTGGTTACATAATTTTACCAGTATAGGGATATCCTACAGGGCACATATTAAAGAAACCCCAGGACCGAAACAAAAACTGAAAAGCTGAGACTTTAAGACATCTGACCTTGCATTTGACAAGTTTGACTCCATTATACCACCTTATTACTTCTTTGATAAGCTCTTCACGACAGGACTCCTGTACCTCTGTAATACTTAAACATCCTCATGTCTGCTTCGATTTCTTTTATTAGAGCAAATCAGGGAAAAATATTAACCCCTGCATAGTTAAAATTCTGTAAGGTCAATTGCCCCCAGCTATATAGCTTCTTTTCTTTAGACTGGTTTACTGCTTGGTTCATGTTAGTTTGCACTTGAATTACTTTAAACATGTAACTATAGTTCTGTGGAATTTCCTACACACGACAAAGGCAAATGCAATGTTATGAAGAAAAAACTTGCAGGATGAAAAAAAAACAAAAACGTAGAAATCTGTTTACTAGAAAAAAACCAAACTTGTCTGTTCTGACAAAGTTCTTTGATCAGCATTTTTCATTTCAACTAAGCAGAAATTCCACATGCATTGTAATGAAAAGTAACACCACTAGAATTATATTCCCCCCTACCATTCCTGTTGTTCTTAGCCTAGGCTATGGAATAGGGATTTTGTAAAGTAAAAAGCTCATTATCTCCAAAGATACAATCACCTCACTTATTTCTCTGCTCAAAATTTTGGATTTCTGCATCAAAGAAATTACAGAATGCTAATTCTGAGTTTTAAACTGCATGTGTACACTCAAAACAATCATCAGTTAAAAAAATATCCTAAAACTTTAAAGGCAAGGTAAGCCATTACAGCGTGAACAATTATTTATTCTGGTTCATCAAATTTTATGAAGTCAGTTAAGAGAGCAAATTAAATTTGACAAAAATGGTTTAGTCTCGTATAAATTAGCATTAGTTTACAATTCTGGTTTAGAACATGTATTTTGCTCCCATAAAATACAGACAGATATTCCTATTTCATTCTGCAAGTCAAGATCATTCAGAAGCACCACAGCAATTCTTTTTCCACGTGCATTAGGCATATTTAGTTAATCTTGCCTCCTGGGTTATCCTTCCCATGGATGATTACATTACTGGCTAATAGCCAACAGTGTTAAAACTCCCGAAAGTCAAGTTTTCTGAAGTGACCGTGGTATTAAATTGAAACAATGTTTCTGTCCTGGAGACATTAATGAAAATATGAATACAAAACTGTATTGAATTTCTATCACATGCAGGAAATCCAGGTCTGTTGGCTGTCTTCTGTATCACTGTCTTTCACGTACTGAATACCATAGTCTTGGAAGCTGCTTGTAACTATATAAACTTACTTTTGCCATCTCTCAGGAAACTTTCGCAAATTTCAAACAGGTATGTATGGCACAGCTGCAGTGTGATGCACTAATATACAACGAACTACTGCAGCAATTCAAATTCCATTTTTAGGTACGAGGGTAAAAGAGCAACGTAACAACAGACGCTGCATTATTTATGGGCTAACTAATGGGTTTTCATTTGCTTGTTCTATGGAAAAAAAAATCCAATTTACAGCCCATATCAAGTGACAGCTCAACACATCCCATCCACGGCCCACTTCTGACTACCCCACAGTATTGTTCACTATCTTTTGGGTATGCAATCTAATTGCCTGTAATCCATTTAATCCACTAAGGCAACTGAATCACTTCCAGTCACAACAAGCTGGAACAGCAGCTCGGATAAGTAACAGTTGCTTCTTACCACGACTCAGTAGCTTGCAATGGACCTAACCATACTCCAATTTTGTTTTGGATATTTTGCCCACAACATCCCGCTTGTGTATGTCTTTCCCTCACATGCAGAAGCACATCCTTTCAGTCAGCAAGATTCTCAAGGTCATTTATGCCCTAAGTGCCTTTATAGCTATCACAAAGACAAAAAGCTGAGCACTCCCAAAAGCCCCAGGAAAGCCCCTGACAACGCAGAACCCAAGAAAGAGTTTCTGCAGCCCCATCCAAGAAAAGCAGAACTGCACTGTTGGTGCATAGCCATATTTTTAATTCTCATGCAAGAATCTTCTGTCGAACTGGCAAATTACGAGTTACACTTGATCTGGAAGAATATTATATTTAACATGCCAAGTTTCTTGTAAAAGAGAGAAGAAAAATAATCAACAAATATTGCTCCAATAATCGAAATTCAATTCTTTAACCTGTAAGCACAAAAAATACCCTGGTGCTTAAAGGAGAGAGAGAGTAGTGAACACAGAAAGTTGAAGTTTAAAAGATACTTGCTGGATCAGGTTGCTAAAGTGGGTAGGCATCACATTTAGAACTCTATCAAAAAACAGTGTACAAGAACTGTAGATTAACAGAATGGGTAGAACACGGATTAACCTCCTTTGTATCTGTGGAAACAGTCATTTTTCAAGCAAGCACATTAGATAGGAATTTCAGATTTCTAATTGGATTTCATGCTTACAGCCGGACAGCACAGCAGATTGGGATAAAGCTAGCTGAAGTCATGGAACACTGTTTTGCGTAAGACACAAAGCAGCACACAAAAATTCTTGGTTATAATATCATTCAGGGACCAGAGGTATCTATGTTCCTGTGAATTGAAGCCCAAGTTCCCAATTATTTGGCAGATGCCGAATATTGACTGAAGAGGGAGGGGAGGGTGGGAGGAATGCGCTCAAGTTTTAACTACCTGAAATTGACAAAGCAGAGACATTAAAACCTCCTGAACAGAATTCACTAATATCTAAGTAGACATTTGATGGCACAAGCATTTCACAAAGGTTCCTTCCCTGAGGAGTAGAAAAACTACTAGTTATCAAGCACAACGGCTCAGTAATTTTCAGCTTTTTTTCCCCTATGCAGCTTAATTTACCACTAATCAAACATCAAAGAAACAAAGGAAAATACTCTCTTATCCTGTGTAAAGAAGTTAATATAATGCAATGGATATTATGCTATCACTGTTACTGACATCCATCGTTCCTACGTATCTGCTATAGAACAGTCCAGATGTATTGTTCCCATTTATTCTGTCCAGTACAGAAGCACAAATATAAATTAGTCAAAACTTCACAAGCCCATTTACTGGCCCGTTGTGAACAGTATGGCATTTGTTTGAATGAATATAAAAAACCTGATTGAGATGGTCTGTTTCACCATTGTTTTCATGCCAAGTAACAGCTTTAGGCAACATATCAGTAAGAACAATTTAAGGACCTATTTTCCTAGGGCCAACAGATCCTTCCTGTTAAAATTAACAAACACTAAACCAGTTATTGACTGACACTTTGTAGAATCACATCACCTCAGCTAAGGGTTAAACAGAGGCAGCCTAAAGTTTATAGCAGAAGTGACTGAACTGTTTTTGGCGCAGCTTATTATAAATTGTGGCTCTAGGCTGCAACTGTCCCAAGACTGCCATTGTGTATTCCAGACACGTTGTAAAACTACAGCCTCAGACTTCCCTCCCTATTTTAGTTTTTCTTTTTTTTTTAAACTGTACTCCCTTTTGGCACACTATACTTTAATGGTAGGCTGCCTCTTCTTCTGATTAATCATAGTGGCAAGAGAACAAATTAAAAAAAATCCTTAATTGCTATACTAAGAAATTATCAGTGCTGGAACAATTCCACAGCAGCTCTGTGTTAAAATAAATTCTGGTTATCCAACATGTGCTAAGAAAAAAAAAAACACTGCAGGAAAACTTTAAAATGATAATATCTATTAGACTACTTAAAGGCAGAGACCCTCCTTCAAGTGACACTGATTGTTCCTCAGTAAGGAAATTTTGCTTTGCTTGGAAACACTTGATTTATCTACATATTTATATTTCAATATATTGTCTTTTGTACGTGGACAGTGTTGCTAAAGCTAAAACTGAAGAGAGATATGAGCTTCAGCACCAAACTGCCATAATTTCTGCATCTGGTTTTAACACTCTAACGCAATTCTGCAAATACTCACATGTATGTGCTGACAATGCAGATATCATCATGGAAGCCATCCAGAGCAGATGTACTTTGTTATAAGAAGACAGAAAACTTGCTTTTGTTTTTCATATAATAGAAGGGCAAGAAAGGTGAATAAAAGTTAGTTATCTATTCTCTCACGGTCTTCTCACAGTTTAGGAGAAGAAAAAGCATCACAAATTCGTTCAAAAAAAGGACTGAAACTATATGATACTTGTCATAAAAGCTTTTTTAAAAAGTAACTAGGTAACAGGGGCCTTCAAGGGCCACCTAGTCACACCACAGCTAACCTGAAATTAAACTGATATTAGCCGATGCCTCCTTCAGTCAAGTTCAGAAAATCCCAAAGGGTAGACAGTTTTCATGTGATACCCGTAGAGTACCCATGACTGCAAAGGTTTTGATTTACACACAGAAAGTAAGAGCAGAGATATTACAAAAAGAGAAGCACTGTAAACAAACTCATAACTAACCAACTGAAGATATATCCCAGATACAAGGAAATCAAGATAAGTCAGATTATTTGGGGTGCAAGTGAGAGAAACAGTTCTTGAGGACTTTCACCAAGTTGGTAAAGCAGGCGTAATGTTACAAGTCCTAAAGATGAAGAGGACTGTCAGCTTGAAGAGGGCAGCAAAGTTTTGCTTAGCATCATTTTAAGATGGAAACCAGAGTCAAAGTAAAGTTAACCAAAGCTATTTCTAAACCCAGACTTACTAGTAGGACTGAGCAGTACAACTTTCCATCTAAAACATACTCTGAAAGTTGGAAAAAAATAACCACTTTAAAAACTGACTGAATTTCACTGCTGTTTTATAACTGCCTAGTAAACAGTGCCCTTAGCAGTTAACAGTGTAAAGCAAATTTTCTCCTCAAGTTGTTCCCACAAGATTGCAAAAACGCTAATTACCAGTCACAAGGAGCAAGAAGACAGACTAAATTTTACTAGCTACTCCTTGCCATCTGGCTGCTCAAATAACAGGGCGACCCTTGAGATTTTCTTTTCTGCCTCCACCTGTTTAAGAGAAAGTAAGCTTCAGACTGGAGGAAAAGTTAAATAACAACAGACCAAGGTCTTCATACAAAGTAACTCGATGTAAAGGGCAGTTTTGTAGAGGTTCCTTTATGATTTCACTTTTCACACACAGTTCTGTCCAATAACTCCTTTTGGCATCAGTGCCAATTACCACAGCATCAAGTATGGCCTGTATTCCATAATTACCAATTCAATAAGAACAGCTCTTAAAACGAACAGAGAAATGTAACCTTGAAATACAAGGCCAACTTGTTTATAGCCAAGGGCTTACAAAGATAATAAGAAACTGGTGTCTTACACAGGCAGCTGAACAATCTCTAAACTACATGGAACAGCCTGCTCTGCTTCATGTATTTTACAGTTCTAACTGTTTTCCCTCCTGTTTAAGCTCAATAAAAGTGAAAAGCAGCAAGCAGAATAAAAGCCAGTACTTAACAATACTCTTAAGCTTTTAGCATTTGTTCAGTTTTATTAACTGCATGTTCACACACACATTAGCACTGTAGCCTTCTTCAAGGTGTAGTAACCCCAAAACTCAGTGGCAAGGTAATCAAGTATTCCTTACCTTCAGAATTATTCTAGTATCTTCCTTACTTGAGCCTCCATTTACTCGAGTCACTCTGTATTCCAACCACTGCTGCACGACAGCTTTCTCTTCCGCAGTGTTCCCGAGCAGCTGGTCTTTCTTAGCCTGCCTGACGAGGTGGGCAGCGATGGTCATCAACCCTGTCAGCCCTGGGCCGTTGTTGGTTTGGAGAACAGGAACCTGGAAGCGGAAACAAAAGCGTAAGACTGAACAAGTCATTAAAAAAAGCAGTCTCTATGTGGGTAGCTATTGTTTTTTTACAGCCCCTCAAAAGGACATTTAAGGCAGTTAAGTCAGAATTTAGAAGTGTTCATAGTAAAGGTAGTACCGTCAAAACCAAATGTATGTTTGCTTTTCACTCTCTGGGGTTTATTTTCAGTTCTTACAGAAGAACCTGAACAAAGCAAGACATCTTTAGCTCCAATTAATCAAATTCTGCCAGTATTAGCCAGAAATAACGTTGCTTGTTCTAACACTGCCAGAAATCTTATTAACTGACTTTTAACTCATTCTCAAATTCAGGACTCTTACATAAGACTGTGAAGTCAGAAGCATCCAACTTCTCTCCGAGCAAGCAAACTGCAGTAACCACAACTCCTGAAATGCTTATTCATATTTACTGCTCCATTCCCAACTGCCCTGACAGAAGCCAGGAGCTCCCTGGTACTGCAAGGGGACAACACAACACACCTCTAGATTTAACCACGTCTTTTTTATTGACAGCAGCACATGTCAAACTGTGGGAAAGAAAACTGAACCACTAAGTCAATAAACGAAGGGAACGAACAGAAACTCAGTGCAACAGACTGAAGTCCATTCAGTCATTTATGACATCAAACAATACAAACTGATTAAAATGCAACACTTGTTTTCTTTTAAAGTATCTGACCACACAGAGGAGTCTATGTTCAGACTTATTTAAACTAAAGTGCCAATTGATACAACTACAAAAGTAATATAATGTCTTTGACTGCTACTAAGTTTTTTTTCCACTGAACATGCAGCTAGAAAAACTACAGATAGATCTAGTTACTCGATTTTTTTCAGCCTTATGCTTTACAGTAAATAGCACTAAAATACTGGTCAGGTTGCTAAATAATTAAGACAGCTTTTGCAATTTAAAGATACATATAAATATTCAGAACTCTAATCATGAATAGTCAATTAAAAACCCCCAAACCATAAGGGAACTGCAAAGCTTATTTTCTCCATCCACATTCTCTGGGAGGGGGGATCAGGTAAAAGGCCTCACAAAATTTGTGACATTCAGCCTGATTATTACATTTTCCATGCCTCAGGTGCCTCTTAAGCCATGGAACTTAATGTTGGAACTTCAAAACGTCAAGACATCTGGAATCAGAGTCATCAGGGTTGGAAGAGGCCTTCAAGATCATCAAGTCCAACCCAGCACTGCCATTGTAACCCTTAAACCACATCACCTGGCACTAGATCCAGACGCCTTTTAAACATCTCCAAGAACGGTGACTCCACCACTTCTCCGGGCATCCTATTCCAATGCCGGGCCACTCCAACAGTGAAATTTTTATTCTAATATCCAATCTGAGTCTGCCCTGAGTTTAAGGCCATTTCCTCCGGTCTTCTCACTGCAGGCATGGCAGAAGAGACTGGCCCCCACCTTACCACAATCTCCTTTCAGGCAGGAGTATTTTAAAAGAACAAAACGTTTAAGAGCAACAGTTCCTCACTACAGACACGATCCCGACACTGAAATATCATTTCCCCCACGCCCCCCCCCCATGCAATTTAACTACGTTAACTACGGCAGCACAGGCGTAACTCGCACAGGCACCAGGGAAAGGCAGAGGAAAAAGAGAGCGGTGCGAGAACCCATGTATTTCAAACCGACATCCCTTCCACGACACACGATGCCCTTTCCACGGGCAGAGGGATGAGGTTTGCAGACCCCACACAGGCTCGCAAGCAGCGAGGCCCTGCAACATCCACAACGTATGGGGGGTGATGGAGGAAAGCCTGGAGACCCCGCTCAGACAAGACGCAGGCTGGTAACTGGGGGGCCGCAGCCACCGTCGCGCGGGGTGTTGGTCGGGAATCGCTGGGGAGGCGGGAGGGGAAAAGCGCCGGCGGAAGCAGAAGTCGGGGAAGGGAGGCCAGGGGACACCATCCCGCGCGCGCCGCTGCCACCGCCGCCGCCGCCGCCCGCTCCCGGCCCCTCCTCGCTCCCTTCACCTTCCGCTCCCCCTGGAGGCCGTACTTGTTCCCGGCCGGCAGCCCCAGCAGCCGCTCCAGCAGCTCCAGCTCCGCCGCGCCCGCCGCCATCTTGGAGCGCGGGCCACGCGGGAGGGGGAAAGCAGGGCGGCAACAACCACCCACGCCATTGGCGGACGGAGCCGCCGCGCCGCCGGAAGAAGCGCCGCGACCATTGGCTCGAAAGGCCAGGCCAGCCAATCAGGCGCCGAGGGAGGCTTGCGCCTTGCAGCCTCCTCGTGGGCGGGGGAAGAGCGGTGGCGTCACAGCCGCGCGCCAAACCACGCCTCTCGGGGGCGTGGCCGCAGGGAGGGGGCGGGGTCAGCCCTGGGGGGCCGCGGGGGCGGGGCCGTTCCCTCTGCCCTCCCTCACCCGCGGGTTCGGGGGCGGGAGTGGGAGTGCTCGGTGTGGCCGTCTGGCTCCGCCGCTTCGCAGAATCACGGAATCGGTTAGGTTGGAAAAGACCTCTGAGGTCATAAAGTCCGACCTACAACCGACTACCACCTGGTCAGCCAGACCATGGCACTAAGTGCCGCGTCCAGCCTTTCATCAAACACCTTCAGGGAGAGCGAATCCCCCGCCTCCCTGGTCAGTTCATCCCAATGTCTGTTCACCGTTTGTATGAAGAAATTCCTCCTAATGTCCAACCTGGACCTCCCCTGGCGCAGCTGAAGACTATGTCCTCTTGTCTTTTCCCTTGTGAGCTGGGAGAAGGGGCCGACCCCCGCCTGGCTACACCCTCCTTTCTGGTCTCCCCGAGTCTCCTTTTCTCCAGACTTCCCTCCCAGCTCCCTCAGCTCCTCCTGCCAGGACATGCACTCCAGACCCTTCACCAGCTCCATTGCCCTTCCCTGGAAACGCTCCGGCTTTGTTCCCGAGAGCCCCCGCTCTCAGTGTCCTGGCCTTCCAGGCCCCTCGACCCCATGTCCTACAATGAGCTGCCCTGATGTGCCCCTGGGCGATGCCCTCAGGTGACCCACACAGACCCTTCTCCCAGGGGTTCTCAGGAATCAGGGCTAATGAGATTGCACTGCTTTTATCCATGCATACACCAGTCCCGCCTTCCTCCACCTGCTAAATCGTGAGCTCATCGTCCAAGTGTAGCTAAATTTAGCAGAGAAGCTAAAGTTTTGGGGAAAGCTCCGTCACTAGGGGTCTTGTGAAACCAAGGGAGAACAGACAGAACCAAGCTGCTACCCAAGGGCATCAATGGAAGAGGAGGGATAGAAGTAGGGTTAAGAAAATCATTCTAATCACCACTGTTAATGGCAGTAATGAAGTTAAGAGATAAACCCCACAAAATCTCAGCTGGCCATGAAATAGCCTGATCTAACTGCACATTATTGTATTTGAGATTTGATGAGAACATGATTTAATCACCTCTCCAATGGAAGTTTGCTGAAGATGTCATACTTCTACAGCTGACCATAAATGTTAGGAATTAAAACAATTTTAGCATGGCAAGTCTAATTGTGCAGAGTATCAAAGTGCAGTTCTTGACAGAAGACTATTAAATACCAAACTAACATTTTTTTTTGCCAGAAAGAATGAGCTAGTCTTGTCCTACTACTGACAATTTTACAATACAAACTCAGGGCTGTCACTGCGTTAGTCATCTCAAATAAGATGATCCTGACAAATGTCCTGTTTCTCCAGTGAAACACTTTATCTTGATACAAGGTGACATTTAGATTTGTACCTTCTGTTGCAGAAAAAGTCTGAAAGTGGACACCGAGCCTTCCTCTGGTGGCAGAGCAAATCTGAGATTGTGACTGAATTTGTAAGCTTCTGGAGGACTTTGAATGATCTTTTATATTAACATCTGCAAAGCACTTTAAAAAAATTGCTCCACCTTGAAAATGGCATTGATCTTTGCAAAGTTTTTTAAATTCTTCAGCTCCTTTCCCTTAGCAATATTTTGAAATGCTAGTGTTCCAGTAGTGTTCCATGTGTGTGATATCAATGAATGATCTAAAATTGTACAGAAAGCCTTCATTTTCAGTGGAGAAATTGAAAGAAATATACTGCCAATTTTTTAAGAAGCTAATTGGTTGTTCCATTATTGAGCGGTTTTCCTGGCTGGTTATAAACCATCTAGCAGTAAATATATACCTACATTTACAGGTTATTTTATATATTTTTAATTTTTAAATACTTTGGGACCTATAAGGTGCAACTTACCGGTGTGAAAGACTGGAGTAAAAATTCTATCAGTTAAAATAAAAAGGTTATAATTTCAGTCAGATGAAAGGGTAAAGGATGGGGTTGCTTGCGAGGTTTTTCGCTTTGGGGGTTCCCCGCCCTCCCCTTTATAACTTTATCCCACCTCGAAGTGTGAAAGACCTTGGAAAGGGAGACTTTATAAATTAGGTGGAGGAAATTAACTGCTTATGTTTTCCCTCGATAGCAGAGTTTAGTAGCGTCTCTCCCTTTCTTTTTCTGTGCAGTTCTCCCCTCGTTCCATTAGGTGGAGCTTTGTGATTAAGGCTGTAGAAGAAACATGCTTCCAAGCGGAAAAGAATTCACCACGGAATGGCTGGGGGAGGAGGTGAACGAAGCCTTCTTTGCTTAGAGGTATCACTGTCCTGTATGCGAGCTAGATACACAAAAATCCGAATCAAGGCCCTCACATACAAGGAAAATAAATTGAAAAATCGATTCTGTCAAATGGAGGCCTGCTCTAATCTGCTGTTATCATAGTCAAGTTCCAAATCTAAAATACCTTAGGTTATAAATTAAATGTCAAATATAATTAATTTGGCACTTGAAACATGAAGTGGATGACTGTCCTTTAGAGAAAGCCTGACAGCTTTATGTATGTCACGTTGGTATCTGTTAAAACGAGCTTTACATGCCAGACGATCCTTGTGTGAATCATATTGCTGTTAGCTGTACCAGAATTTTGTCGATGGAATAAGTCTCAGAACAGTTTTCTCCTTAATTGTCTGAAGCTTTTGCAAGACAATATAAATCAATTGTCATCTGCCTCATCTGTGCAGAATAATGGTTTTATCATACATCAAATAAGCAATTTATTTCTTATTCATTACTACGGAAGTTATTGTTGAATATTTACATACAAATCTATATTTTATACAAATGGGAAACGTTTTCTACCCTGTGCCTCGAACCCACTGCAGTTACAATTTGATTCCAGTTTTCCTTCCCACTTCTCAACTTCAGCAACAGCATCTGTATTCCCGCAGTACCCTTCCTCAGGGAGGCCTAGGTTATAATTGTGTGTACCACTCCTGCCTCAGCCCTGTTCCCCAGCACATGGAGACCCCCTTTTTCACGCCTTTATCCCCTTACCCCAAAACAGAAGTGAACAGATCTTTCTTCACTTTCTGCATTTTGTGTCCTTGCTTTGCACAATGAATTACAATGGCCTTAATACTTTTTTATTCACAGGTACCCCTGGGGAAGAGGAGGAGGCAGATTTGAGCAATGGACACTTTTACACAGTTGTTGAAATAAAAATGTAAGTATACCACATTATTTCCCACTAACAGGGCCAGTAGGACCTTCCTAATCCAAACCTCATAAAAATTCCCCAAGCAATGGTTTAATACCAGGGTGCTGCAGGAAGGTTTCATGATTAGTTTTTAAATGTGTGTAGCAAACTGGCTAAATGTTTGTGGGTCATACCCTTTATACTGCCTGATCTACGGTCTGTGTGATCAGGCTGTTCATTTAGCTTAAGAGCAAAATAAAAAAAAACAACGAAAAAGAGGCTGAGACCTTGTTGCTGTTACCCCTCTCATTGAGATGAGGGGAACGTGTGTGGCCAAACTAAGAGATCCAGATTTGTTCCTGGTTTCTGCAGTGGCTGAATGAAGCAAAGAGGAAATTGACTTTTTTTTTTTTTTTTTTTCAAGTGCTCTTGGAAAATCGAACACATGAAAAGAATGGTTCTTGTAACAGCCATCTCTCCTTTGCTTCAGCTTCCCTTTTCTTCTGCTCAACCCTGTGCTCTATAACAGAAACATGAGCCCCAGGTCCATGTTAAAATTTAGCCATTCTTGTATGTGTCAGGCAGAAAACAACTCCAAAGCAATATTTTAAAATTAAGAGGCATGACAATTTTTTCTTTTTTTGTCTCATTTCCACTAGGTTACGCTAACAAAAGGTCTTCTAGTTAGAAGCCTTTCTGCAGGCAGTGACTCGGAGATGTTACTGTCCCAGCAGCTGATTTCAGCCTAAGTGCATGTTGAAGGAAACAGGGAAGGGAAAGTTGCTGTGATAATAATGCTGTGATGGCGCATCACCAAAAGTAGGGCAAGGGAAACTTTTCATACTTCTGAGAAGACTGATCTCATGCACATGTATGTCTTAATTTAGCGCTAAAATGCATGTATGTACATTCACTGCAGGTGGCGTGACAACAGGATTCATCACTGACCATTATAAAATCGACTTGGTTCTTTTTCACTTCTGTTCCCTGGAAGATGATGGCAAGTCACAGTGCTGTCTGGGCACTACAGTGATTTAAGGGCCAGATCCACAGGCAGGATAGCTGCTTTACTGCACTGCTGCATAAAAGCTAATTAGCCCATGTAGGAGGCAATTAGCTCTGCACTGCCGTGGCTGTTTTTAGAGTGCTCCCAGACCTGACTCACTTGTTCATAGCCTGGGGTTCCCTGAACTTTGTCTCTCATAGGGAGGTCTGCATTTGGATCTGAAAAACAGAATGACTCAGTTTTGGAATTAAACAACTGTTGAATATCGGTGACAGACTGGGCTTGATAATTCCAGAATAACTTTGACTATTTTCTATGGATTTGGAGACCAATCAACAGAGTGTGTATATATTCTTACACATCTGTAAAGACTGCATCAGTAATACGCCCTTGCATGTGTTTATTGATAGAAAGCCCAGGTAACTTTATTGTTCAACAAGGAAAGAGTCAACTCTTAGGCACTGATTGCCACAAATTTGATTTCCTGAGACAGGAAAATATGGACCTGCATAGAGAATTTACTGAGAGATCTGTACAGACATATTCTACTCTCAGTTCCATCCTCATTTCTTAAGTCAAATTTACAACCCTTATTACTCATTCGCCTTCCAAATTAGAAGATGTCATTAAAGAAAAACAACTGGCATTGATGGGTGTGTGGAAATTAAGACTTACAAAAAATGGCTGATTGGCACAGAAGGGAACAAACTGGTGTCTGACATACCAACTTGGATGCTAGGGTTTGGTGTGACAGAAGACCACTGGTTTATTCAGCAGTTGTGCATATGCAGCACAAGCAGTTCTGCTCCTGACAGCTAAATAAATAAAGTAGATAACTGATTTTAAAAGTAGTATACCTAGAATGCTACACCTAGTTTACCATGTGTAAATGTGGTACATTTGGTTGTTGAAAATATAATCCACTTCTTTTACTGCTAAGTAAGTGCTGGGTTTAGTCTGCTGTGCTTTTGAAAACGTGATTGTTGTAAGTGAATCGCTGCTGGCAAGAAGCTGTTTTTAGGGGGTTTGCCCTATGTACAAATACAGAGTCCTGGGATGAAAAGGCTAAGCTATTTCAGGATATGCTATCAGTAACATGCCATGTTAGAACAGACTTATTCTGTTCTTTGTTCTCCAGCTATGCTGTTCTGAGCTGGAGGTATGTCCTGAACATACACTAGATGGCAGGCAGGTCAGGTGGCTGGAAGCAAACCTTGCCCATCCATCACACAGCTCTCTCTCCTGCCTCCAAAAGATCAATTGGTCTTCCTCAGGCCTATACAAAAGCACATTTGGCTCGCTGTACTGGATATGAGGATGCAGTCAGCGGACTAGAAGCTGATCTAGCTCTCTGCCCACAAGATGCTTGGCCACGTTGTTTCTGACAGATTTGCTTTTGCCTTTTAGCCGACAAGGAGAAGATGCCCGATCAGTAACAGCTCGATCAGTAGCAGCTGTTGTTGAGAATAAGGCTTGTGCTAAAGAAGTGGATGTGTTAAGGAAGCGCTGTCAGCACCTGAGGCAGGCTCTGATGGCTTGTCTTCAACCGTAGACTCCTGTGTTTGCCCTGCAGGAGACGATGGCAGCTTGTCGCAAATTTTTTGTAGCAGAACATCTTTCCAATGCTCTGTGATGCCCCAGGATGAAAGATGCCCTCAACGTTGCCCTTTAAGTGGAGATCTCATTGCAATGCCAGTATGTACAGCCTTGAATACATCAGTGCTTACTGCAGGATCCTCTGGGAGCTGTTGTGACACAAGGTCAAATTCAGCCCTCATGTAAACTGGTGTGGTGCTTGCTTGACCCACAGCTCTGTCAGTGTAACAGAAATGCTGTCAGCTTTCACCTCTCCTGATGTCCTTGAGGAAAGGATGGATTTGAAAGGAGATGTCATATCACTATCAGATTATGCTAATGTCATAGGTGAGTCTCACAGGGCTCTAAGAATAAACCACATTTTGAAAATAGTCCTTCCTATAGTGGTTTTTTTTGTTGTTGTTTTTTCCTTTTAATGATAGTTGTAAGAAAGCCATGAGTGGTCATCGATTGCTTTTTCTTTCTCAAACAAAAAGTTTCTTCAGTTTGAGTTGCAATCAGATGCATTTAGGATTCCTCCTGTGGTGTGAGAATTCCTGAACTGGTGCACCTCTTCTTACTTTAATTACCAAATATTCTTTAGATTTTAAGGACACAGATACTCTACAGTCAGTCATTCTAATGGAGTTATTAGCATGAATAAAACAAGTCTATACAAAGGATCTTAGGAAGTTTATCATATCCAGGGCTAGAGCACTTCCATAGAAGCAAGTTGGTTTTTGTTGCCAGTTAATCTAAACCCATCAGCACATCTCTAGACAACAAATGGTGGAAAACATGTTTTTTTCTAGACTTTTCTCTAAACTACTGCTGCTGGTGTCTCTGTATCAGTTGGGAGTTACAGGGAAGCAAATGCTTTAGTTTCAATTGCTTTACCTACTGAATCAGTTAGTGGAATAGTTTGGACTCTTGAGAAGGGCAATGGGAAAATCTCAGTTTGAATAAACCTGCAGTGTTATATCTTTTAGTGTTTAGAGAATGCAGTAGTAAATCAGAAGTAAAAAAAGAGGAATCAGGCTTCAATTGTTTCTAATCTAACCCTCTGACACATGCTAGAGCATCTGTACATTTTCTCTAATAGGACAGGGATGGTCAAGTATTTCACACACGCACATTTTTCATCTTTTTGAGTCATTGAGGAACCACTCACTAAAAGGGACCACTCACTAGGAAGTGTTGCAGAACAGGAAAATGAGAAAAAAGCCACAAAGACTTGACAGCATGAATAGGCAGGTGTATTTACACACACATGAATGCCAGGAGGGTCCCTTCACTGAGCAGCAGCCAGCCTCAAAGGCAAGCTTAGAAACCCTTCCTCCTGCAAATGTGGTTTGAGACAAGTTGCATAAAGATAACAGGAGAAAACATCAGGTCACAACCAGAGAAATGAAAAAATGGAGCTAATGACTCACCATACTTTGAGTTCTTCTTCATATGTGTGCAGTCACAAGGTTTATCTGCAGGAAAGCCCCTTGAAGCCAGTATTGCTAGAGAAAGTAAATGTTACATTTGTTCTTTGCTTCTCTTTATCCAGTCTCTTTCAACTTTTAGTTGCTGGAGACCTACATCTACAAAGTAAACAAACATATTCAAAATATAAAATTTAAATTAAAGCAATACGTTTTATAACTTTTTAATGCATTGTTTTCCATTATAGCAACTCTTAAAGGTAAAATGTGTTTGGGATATATGTTACAGACCCAGGCCAACACAAACGCTGGTTGTGAGAAGCTTCCTTTGAGAGAAGAAATTTAGCTTTTGGCAAGTGTGTTTGTTTGACATTAGTGCATTCATCACCCAAAGGAAAATCTGTATTAGCATGGAGATGTCAGATGATAGTTCACTACTAAGGCACACAATGCTTGACTCAGGACTGCAGCAAGGAATTACACACAAAGCTTATGAATTTAAGAACTTCAGGTTATGTTGCACCATAACCCATGTATTTGATAATGGATCTAACAGGAGAAAACAGGATTGCAAATAGAAGATTGTCCTGTCATCCAGCATCTCTGTAAAATGACACATTTTCTCCTTTTCCTAGGTGTTAGGGTGGTTTGGGTTTTTTTTTAAATTTAGGTTTTTGTAATGAACTCTCCTACGTTTCCCCATTGATCCCTGCAGTGATCTTCAGTCTTGCTTCCTCTCTTCGTCCAAAACTTGTCAAATCCATACATGGCAAGACAGACTTTTTTTTTTTTTTCCCCAGTTGATTCTTTGTTTGCTGCCGTTTTGGAAAGCATTTTGTGGAGGTGAGGAGCAAGGCCTATGTGATGATGATAATTTGAAATGATTACAGCAAGGAAGAATAATGAAAAGGAAGAAGGGTATGATTATAAGCTGCTGGGTGTTGTTCAGCACATCAGTGATGATGTGAAAAATCTGGTTTAGAATTATTTGAGCCCATAATCTGGGGTACTGTAATTGGGTTTTACTTCACAGGAGCTCACAGAGGTTCAGACAATGGTTTATAAAATTTACCCAGAGATCAAAGTGGTTTGAAATTCAGACTGATTTTCTATCTTTTTTTTTTTTTTTTTTTTTTTTTTTTTTTTTTTTTTTTTTTTTTTTTTTTTTTTTTTTTTTTTTTTTTTTTTTTTTTTTTTTTTTTTTTTTTTTTTTTTTTTTTTTTTTTTTTTTTCTGTGGGGAAAAATGAATAAACCCTCAAAACACTTTCATTCAAGGCCATTTCCTGCCAGCAAGGGAAATTTAATCCACTCAAGCCACCAAATCATTGAGTACATTTATTCATTAAAGTAATCAATCAGTGGAAATAGGTTTTTCTTTTTATATATTAAATGGCAAAAATGATGAGTTCATAAAAATGTCAAGAAATTTTCATCTCTGCTATCTCTTTTCTTAGGTCAGCTGTCTTCAAATGTATTATCCCATTTGTGGGAATCTTACTTATTCTGTCTTTCTTGTAGAAAGCCGAGCATTGAGTATTACATAGAGATTAAAATTGAGTAGAAACTGTAGAAAATGTCAAACATAGCAGAAATCATGACACTTGCTCTTTCGACTAGTCACAAAAGCATCAACAGTTGTTAATTTTTGAAGCTAGTATTCTGGCAGTGTTACATTAATACATCAGTCACAGCAACTTCTTGTTTACATTTTTGCTAGCATCTACAAGTTTGTCAAGATCTATCGTCTCTTTCCCTTACGCAGTTGGCTTCTTTTATTTTGACAAATGGATCCTTGCCAAGAAGTTATGTATGTGCCTTGCAATCATTATTTGGAATCAGGAGACAGTATTAGGATCATCATTTTTCTCTACCATTTGTAATGCAGGCTGCTCCTCTGAGGTCTTTTAGTGGAAAAGACCTGGTGAAGAAAAACATCAGCTGTCCATTTGCCACAGGAAATAAAATCACATGCATTGTTTGTCTGACGTACTCTAAACCTAGAAATTAAGCTTATTTTAGTTTCGGAAAGATGAAGTGCCTCCCAGGTTCATTTGTGACCTCTTACTAATTTAGGAAAGGAGGAATATAGAGGGACCAATTGTGTTGTGAAATTCAGTGTCTTACATCTGCAGAAAGTCCTCTAATATAGACTAACCCAAATTTGTAATACACCTTTTGAGACCTTTGAGTGAAAGACCTCACAGTTGTTATAACAATTCTAAACCTCTAAACGTGTGGCCACGGGTAAGGAAGAGATGACATAAAAAGACATCATAGTTTGAGTGAAGCAGCAATTTCTTAGGTGATGTTTCCGGATGTTTCCAGGAAGCTATGGGACCGTGGGCCATGCCCCAGTCTCCAGAGGAGGAAGGATATTCCCAGCTAATTTCCTGAACTAAAATTCTGTCCTGAAATGTGTTATTATCAGACCATTAGCTTGTTACTATTGAGTCTGGTGACAGGTTTAACCCTGAGAGTGTGAAAAAGGCATCCTGATCTTCCTCAATAGTGCCAGGAATATCTACAACCTCCCCCAGCACCGCAGCTCCATCTGTGGCCAATCAACAGAGGAAATTGATTGACAGCAGCCCTGAAGTATGGACTAATTAAATATATCATAAGTAGGTTGCAGTGAACACAAATCAGCTTGACCCAAAAAATTTTGGTTCCCAGATGTCTGCAAGATTTTCTGTTTAGCTTTGTAATATGGTTAAGGTCCAGAAGCAGTCTCTGTAAATAACAGAGATCTTTCATGCCAATTCTTACTCCTCAGAGTTTTAAAGTTGACCAGCTAATATCCTTGGAGCAAGCAGACTCTAAAGGGCAGCCAAAGGCCTGTTTGTATGGGGAAATCAGCATGGGGTAAGGTAAGAGGAAAACTGATGGTACAGTAGCTGTCTGCACTCATTCTTCACAGGGAGAGTGGTGAGCCCTCAGGGTGTGCTCAGATGGCCTCTGCTATAAGATAGCCCTGGTGCTCACTAGGGTAGTTTAAGGAGCCACTGCTGTGTCCTTTTGCGGGAGACTATGGCCCCTATTCCAGCAGAGATGGAAAGGAGAGCATGGCCACCTTTCCATCCTCATCCTTCACAGCCTGCTGTGTTAGTTGAAATTAGCCATTGAAGATTGATTTGCGTTAATGAGCTGAGGCTACAGAACTGAACCATGTTTCGGTTTGCTGCCCCAGCTAAGGGAAGCAAACTGCTGTCAAAAGCATAGGGCAGGTGCCATAATGACATTAAAATTTTAAAAGCAACTATTTGTGGATGGATTGGAATGTGATATCATGTATTTCATGATAGAAAGCGTCTACATGGAGAATCAGGGCAGAATAGCCACTGGCTTGCATGTTCTCAGGTTACGTAGCTGTGTATGTATGGTTTTGGTCTGCAGGTTTCAGTTATTCAAAGACGTAGTAAACCTGTTCCTTCTCAGACAGAACATCACCATATTGTTTCATTATTTCACTAGAACTCATCAGTCCTCGTATTCTGGATGACATTAAACAGGGCAGAACTTTGTCTGAGTAAGAGTGCACTACTACAATGGAGCTGTCGTTATTCCTAAAGGGGAGAACAAAACCCTTTCATATCCTGCTGAGCATTTCCTCACATGCCTAGTGCACGCACTGCAAAGCTTTTTCTCTTGAGACTTTTTTTTTTTATGTGGGTCTACAAGTCTTAATGCATATCCCTTAGGATATGGCCTTAGGATTGGGCTGCGTCATCTTTCCACAAAGATGCAGCATTTAGGTAAGGAGATCAAAGAGGCTCAGACGCAATCTTAAAGATCATCTATGCGACTTGAAGATCATGTTGTCAGTGTGTATTGATTTGTCAAACACACAACAGAGCCAACAAAATAATTGCTTTGCATTTCTGAGGGAATTAAGCTATCTTAAAAGTGTTCAGAAAACAGTTATGTATCAAGCTACTGTAGACTGGACTCACAACCTTAACATCTTAGCTCATGGGCTCGAAAAAAATCAGTCTTTACTAGTCATCAGAAAGCTCTACAGATGAAGGATAATTAACAATATTATAAATACCACTTCATACTTCCAAACCAACCATGGTGCTAATTAACTTCAAGACTGCAGGTCTGATCCCTATATGGGCTATTCACTTAAGAGTTGGACTTGATCCTTCTGGGTCCCTTCCACCTCAGAATATTCTGTGATTCTGTGATCTATCTGGCTGTAACATATTATTCTTCTCTGTATCCAGATCTTTGTGTGTAAATGAATAAACTAGCAAGAACAATTCATGAGGTTGAATCTAACAATATACTCTGCAAAAAATACTAAGGTTGTCTGCTGTAGCAAACTCACCATCATTGAAACTTTCCTGACAAAGTTTCATCTGCACTTGGCTAAGTTTAGTCAAGGTGGAAGGTTTCAGGAACTTCAGGCAGATATCTTCCAACAGGTTTCCTTATGTCAAAAAGATACCTTACCCTAATACAAGTTGTTTTATGGACAGCATGAATTCCTACCTTGAAAGGTGGCTGGGTCAATATTAATAACAGAGGAGAAACCTGAAGACCTGCAGCTTCCCTCGGGTGCTTTCATGCATGATTGCATGAAGAGAAGGTGTTTGCCGTTCTGAATGCACAAGGACTTTGCTGCAATGGAGGCACCCAACTCTGCTGGCCTTGGCAGAATTGTTTTCCATCCTCCACTGATACTGATGCCAAAAGCTCAGTTCCAATACATTAAGTTGGTGTTTGTCTGAGAAACAAATGTATGAGAGTCCTTGGGGAAGAAAGTAAATCTGGGTTTCTATTCCATAGCTTGTCTTGCTTCTGCTGCATTTATAACATCTGAACTCTGTACAGGCAACGGAGCACGTGTTGGTTCTGTCCTGTGCTCTCTGCCCTGGAGCAACAACAAGTGCTGCTGGTCAAAAGGCTCTTATTTTGTGAGTCTACCAAAGAGGGACTGCAAGTGGAAAATGGGTGGAAGAAAATCAACAGTACCACTCAAAAACATTCCTTTCCTGTTCCAATACTTGGACTTGAGTGTTCTTGTTAAATCACCGTATAGACTGGAAATGCTTAGTGATTTGTACAGAATTGCAGGAAGAAGGAAATCCCGTGAAAGCACACCATTCCAGACCCAGATGGACTTCTATGCTTGACAAGGAGAATTTTGCCACCAGTTCAATTGAGAACACTTGGGGTAAACCTTCTGCAGCCACTGATTCTTGTTCTCTTCTAGTGTTAATTCATATGATAGCAAAACAATGCTAAAACAGAAGAGAAGAAGTACTTAGAGCTCTTTGAGGAAACACAGGGCAGGTTCTCAGGTCATTAAATTAGCCTGGTTCCATTGTTGCTGGTGATATGTACTTTATTCACTGAAGCTATACCAATTTTTCCAATTCAAGGCTCAGGCTGACAGTGTTTGAACACATCATTGTTCCATAGGCTGCTGCTCTATCTGTACATCTGGCGGGATAGAAATCAGAGGCCAAATGCAGTCCTTGGACAAAACTTCAGAAGTGTTACAGAAGACTGCCTGCATTTTGTATAAAAAAATGTAAATTATTGTCAGAGTGAATTTGGTTCATTTTTCACAACTTAGTTTTACAGAGATGTGTAGCTGCAGCTGGACACTGCTTGTACTGGTTAAACTGTACAGTTGTGGCAAGGGTCCAGTTGCTTGCAGGGCTTTGCAAGTGCAGCTGATCAGTCTCCTCAGCCACACCTAAGTCACACCAGCTTCCACTCACCTGCTTAACCTCACAGGTGAAAGGCAGAAACTTTTCACCTGGCTTGATACCTCTAATACGTACAAGTATGTACATGTGTTTATAGCCTACGAATAATTTACATATTTTAAAACCAAACAAAATGAAAGCAAACATGCAATGGGAACGTACGATGTGAAGCACATAAGCATGTTGGAGGTAAAGCCCAGTTTCCAGAGGCTACTGATGATTGCCTCATGCCATGGGGAGAGGTACTACTTTCTTTAATGCGTGGAGCCAATTATACCAGTGTTTTGACAGAGGGGAAGGGGGAGAAACCTTTTCGCTGACCCTGACAGACCACAAACTTGCACCCTGAAGCCTGATGTCTGATTAGTTTTTCAGTTTTTTTACTGACAGGCTGTTAAGTAATAAAATAGTTTTTTCCTAAGACCAATACTATTTCATTTACCAGTATGCCATTTTATGTATTCCTCTTGGTTTGTTCCTGATATCAACTTAAATACCTGTACCTTCCCTCCTGAAGATGTGGAATCGCAAAGTGACAAGCCCAGTTAGTGGGAGCTGAGTGTCAGTAATACCTGCAGGGATTATGGGGAAGAGAACATTTATAAGCAATCTAATGTTTTAGAGTACTTTTCATAAAAAACAGAATCTAGCAATTAGGTAATAATATAAAAAGCACTAAATAATATAGTATTAAAAGGTCATGTTTACATAATAGCCACACAGAGAAAAAAAGTTAGGTATTTGATTTCACTCCAAACTTCATGCTTTTGATCAGTTTAAGATTACTGTTGTATTAAAGCCGTTTTATGTCCTCAGTGGGAGTTAAGGCACTCAGCACTTGCAGGATTGAAGTAAGGATGGGAGCAGGAATTTGACCACTCTCGAATCGTACTGCTTAACATCTGAGAAGGATCAGGAAGACAATCCTTAGCCCTGAGCATTATATACAAATGAAATAGGGGTTATCTGGGGGCAGCATAATTCATTAAATGTTCCTTCTAAATGTAAAACACCAAATTCCCTCGACACAGCCTTTCTATCTGCTGTCTAGTTGTGACATAAAAAACTGTATTACAGTGAGAGTAAACTGAAATTCAGAAAAGCACAGAAGTTCACTGTTAAAGCTCATTCTATTTTCTCATTACATCTTGTAACAAACAGGCAGAAAAAACCTTATAGGTATCACAGTCCTTTGAAAAAGTGACTGATTTTAGAAGATGGGACTAGATTGTCAGCTGGTGTCATTTAGGAAATTTATATTAATTGTAATCTAATTACCCTGTAGTTCTATCAGCTGAGAATCTGATCCAGGAGCCGTAACAGTTAGAAAAGCATCCATGTATAGCTTCATCTTCCCCTTGGACATCTTTCTTTTACTTCAGGTCAGTGCTGGGGAAAATTTCAGACAAATACTCTGATCAGATTTTTATGAAGATTCAATAAAATGACATTGGGACAGAAAAAACCAGTTTATTTCAAGGAAGGTGTAAGGTAATCAGACCAAATTTCAAAAAAATCTCTTAACTGTAATTGTGCTGTAAGACGGGTACACCACTCCATTACACAGACTGTGTTCTCCTATCATTGATATATTTATCCTTGCATTAAGTTTCTTTATGAAACAAGGAAGGGCTAGTTGTCCAGTCTGGTCAAACAAGACACAACACGGTAAGTAAGTGATTTGTTTAAGGCTACACAGGAAAGATGTATCAGAAGAGCATGAGTTTTTCTCATGCTGGGCTAATGCCCCAGTCCCCGGACCGCTTCTGCCTGCCTAGTTCACCTTCTGTTATTTAATTAATACAGGCTTTATCGATAATCTTTGGAGAGTCAGTTATTTATACTCCAGCTTAACCAATGCAGAAAAGTGGGGACGTCTGTCTTGTGAGCTGACAAATGGAGGGTGTTATATAAAGGCAATTGATTTTACATTTACTGTTACCGTGCGATTAACAGGCGACCAGTCCAATGACCAGGAAGTTTCAAAGGTACTTCCCTTGGCTCCACCAGCACAGCCCAGCACCCTGCTCATGCTCTCGGTCATGTGAGACAGAGGCAGTCAAGTGGCAACGCTGATTCCCTTCCATTGTACAGCCCCAACTGTGCTCATAAATGGGGGATGAAGTCTCAGTGTCTGAACGAAGGTACCGCTGACCCCAGTGCATATTCAGTTATGATAAGTGACACTTGCTTTCACTATAAATTGCTGACAAATGTGAAGGAAAGTTAAAGAAGTCTTGGACAACAGCTTTGTAGGAACTGCCCTAAGTGAGACTATAAAAATATTAGTGGAGAAAAGGGAATGGAAAAACCTCAAAGAGAAGGATTTCTTTTTTTCTTCTTTTTTTTTTTTTTTTTTTTTTTTTTTTTTTTTTTTTTTTTTTTTTTTTCCCCTTCATAATTGTGTGTTAAAATTTCCTCATGGAAACTCTTCTGATTCATGTACTTGAAAACTACACTTTCTGCCTGTTCAGCCTTTCCCATAATAGGTCAGTCCTGATTCACTGTCCACTGAAGTAGACATTTGTATTTCTTCGTGTTTGTGTTAAACTTTACCTAGAGATTTTGAGACTGTAATATAAATGCACATCTAGGGTCCCTCTAAAACTCAAGATTACATTTAAACAGATATTTTTAAGTCCTTTAAGATAGAGTATATGCTAACAATGACGTTAAAACTGGCTACTGGAAAGATTTGGTACCTTTTCAATCTATCAGTGACCATGCAGCATTGCAAAGTGGCCAGTGGAAGAAATGGGTGAATCTGGCAACCTACTGGCTTTTTATTGCCTTACCGTAGTGAGATGAGGAACAGGCAAAAAAGTATGCTTTTTGTGAGCAATTCTGGTTTTATTCAAAATCTAGGAGGGCTTACCTTAAAAATATATGATGCTATTGAGTTCAGCAAGCTGCATGATTTATTAAACCAGGCTCACCATTTCTTCCTGTCAGTTATACGTGATCAGTTATTGCAAGTGCCTATCACTCATTATATATTTATTTATTGGAATTTAGAGACAGTCTTTTAGAAGACTTTCATTCATGGGTATTAGGGCCCAATGCTCAAGAACTGACTTTCAGCCAGGGACATATATGTTTTGGGACATATTATCAGTTAATGGAAATCCTGTAGCCTCATGTTTTCCACTTACCTCAACCCTGAGAATCTGGACTGTTATCACTGACCTTGTACCTGACCATTTTTGGTGCAGTTTTGCTCTGGCACAGTGCAGTGATGCTGAGACATTTTCCCAGAAAAAAATACAAAATGTTGTTCACCATCTCATGTCAGGTATTCTGTACCTCAAATTGGTGGAACAAAGCATGTTATTTCCACTTAGTGGGAAGAAACCAACATTGTTATTTCTACTGCTCTAGTGTCAGGGCTTTTTATTTCCACTGCAGTGATTGTACAGGCTCTCATAACCAATAAGCCAACATCCAACCCTACCAAAAAAAACAAGAAAAAAACCCCTTGGCTGGTCTGAAGCACATTAGAGCATGCAAAAGAACACTGACTCCCGGCTGCAGTTAGAATGGAAATGTCTATTCTCTTGATAGCAGTGGTGGAATTTGACTAAAAAATTACATTTTTCTGACACATAATCAACCTCTAGAGTGTTTCCGGCTCTCCATATGATGCAAGCGGAAAAAAACCAAAAACAACAAGCCAAGGGCACATATAGATTCCTAACTTCAAAAAGGGGGAAGGAAACATGCACTACTTGCTTATAGTTGTGTAAAATGAATGCAGTTCAGGTTTAAAGCTTCTGGACACAAGCAGTCAGATACAAAGGACCCAGACACACCGTGTCAGATCTAAGGAAAAAAAAAAAAAAAAGCCATCTCTCTCTACAGCACCATTTTTAGGAGAATTTCCTCTGATTAAGGGACACAGAATCCCTTCTCAAGATTTCCTGCAATGAGAAGCAGCTTGAGGGTGAAATTGTGGCTCCCTGGAAACTTTGTCACAGAGTTGATGTGAACTAGTTTGCTGTGAACACTGGCTGTGTCCCCTTCCCATCTTGCTCTTCTCACTTGTTAACCTGAACTGCCCTCAGTCTCCAGCCCTCTGAGTGACCTTTTCTTACAGCACAGCTTGGTGCTATGACCTACTCCAGCTCCCAATAACAGGCTTTCTGTGTCACAGCATGTGAACTTGGGCCAGGAAAACTTGGGTTAGATTTTATGAAACTTGTGGACTACAGAGACATTGCCCCTGAAAACACAAAAAGTTGGATTCTTGGATTAGTGGAAATCTAAATCACCTCATGTGTGTATACGGAACAAGATGCATTTGTTTTAGCTGAGTATACAATCTGTATATTTGGGTTTACACAGGATCTGTTTGCTGTGCTGAGAATAAAATCATGGTTTTATTCCTTATCAGTAGAAAATATAGGTCTCTACTGTCCAGGAAACTAAGATTCACTCATATTTATATGGCTTTAGTAACACCTGATGTATTTTT